AGAACATTACTATCAAAATCTTGTTTACATTCGTTACAAATAAAAGCTGTGTCAGTATAATCACCAGTCTTTTTGTCAAATGCTACCATTTCGTGGGTAGCAAGAGCAATATTTAAAGCGAGGTTATTTGGATCATCATAGTCTAAGACACAAAAATCACATTGTCATTCATGACCATCGGCTAGTTCTAATACTCTATACTCTAATTTCATAAATATTATTTGTCTTTTTGAACAATAAAAGCTTGAAACTTCTCTTGAGTTCTATTTTTTGTTCGATTCAACCCACTAAACATTTGCTTAAACTTATATTGCCCTCAATTTTTGCTTTCTTTGAGATTCTTGATTTGACTGTTCTTGATTGTTAGAATATTTTCCAACTTTTTTACTTGTTGCCAAAGGTTACGCCTTTCTTTGTCATGTCTATCTTTCATTTCATCAACCTGTCTTACTCTTCATATGCTTGCTGTTTTCAAAGCCTTTTCTGCTTCTTCACGTTCCATTTGAACCTCCTCCTTTGACTCTTCTAGTTTAGTTTCTAATTCCTTATTCTTTACTTCCAATTGCTTATTTTTTTCAAGCAATTCATTTCTCTCTTGCTCTAAACTAGTTGTTAAGGATTGTAAACTTTTAGTTTCTTTATCAGCTTTTACTCATCAATTCATTGCATTGTGATGCAAGTAAACAAGACGAACAAAACTTTTTCTAAATTCTTTGTCTTCTAAATGCTGTAATGCATAAGGGCAAAGTAAAAAGTAATCTATAACTACTCTTATCTCTGCCTCACTTGGATTTCAGTTTAAATTACCAATTAGTTCTTTTATTTCCTCTTCAGTTAAAATATTGTTTTGGTTTGTCATGATTTTACTTTTTTTTTTATTCTTTTAATATACTTGTATCCTTTTTATGGGCATATTAAGTATATAAATTATTTTAGTGCTTATTTACTTTAAAACTAACAATATTTATATTTGTCAAAAGATTAAGCTTATTAAACTTAATGACAGTAAAGGCAAATTAATTAGTGATGGAGGTGATTTTATTCTGAATATTTTATTTGTTTCCAATATAGAATGGTTTTGGGCAAGTAACATCTTTGTATTCATCTTTCACAAATGGGCGAATATTATGATAAAGATACTCTTGTCTTTTGTAATCCAAAGGAGGTGGTGTTAACACTAAAATAGATAAAGTTCTAATTTCTTCAAAAATATCTGCTCTCTTAATTTTTAATAAATCGAATTCAGTAAAAGGACCATTAGCAACCTCTTGAGTTTTGACCACACCAAGATTAGATGCTTCAAAAAGAAAATGTTGATATCTTTGCAAGCCATTTAGCTTCTTAAAATAAATTCCCAAAATAGACT